AGCAAATATTTGAGAAGAGAAAATGGCTAAGAGTTGTCCAGAACTCTTGAAAGACACTAGTCCACAGATTCAAGAGGTAAGTAAATCCCAAGCATGAAAGTCCTGTCTAAACCAGCAGCCAGATGAGAGAGGAGGGAGATGGTACAGCTGAGAGTTGCCTTCCCAGCCCCAGCTGGCTAAGCTTTCCATCAAAACCTCAATTAGGAGAAAGAACACTAAGCTTCCCACAAGAAGCAGAGACTTGTGGCTTTGGTGCTGAGCCTCCCTGGCTCCCTTCGGCCCTTCTCCCTCTTCCACTGCCTGGAGACCTCTCCCTCAGCCAGGCTCTGGTATCCTACCATCCGTCCACCAAGGCCTTCCCTCAAACCTCTCTTTCTCTCTTGACCTCAAGGGGAGGAAGGAAGCTCAAGGCAGAAACAGAAAAAAGAACGGAAGAATAAGAACCAGTGAGAAAGCAGAGTACAAGGTGAATCTTGCAGGCAGCAACAAGAGATGAGCCAGACTGGCTTTGGGGCCAGCCTGGAGGCAACAGGCAAAAAACACGGATTCAAGATGACTTAGAAGTTGGTAGCCTGAATTCTGCTTCCTTTCTCTTTTCTCCTTTCCCTCAGGCTCCCCTCTGATTCTCTGCTTCCATGACCCTAAGTCTAGCAGAAGAATGTGGGGAGGACTTGAGCTCCCATATCTGTCTATATGCCCTAACAAACAGCAACATCAGTAGGCCAGGCTGCAGAGGTAGGAGAGGGGGAGACCGTACCTACTGGGAAACTGGAGAAAACCAGAGAGCTGAGTCCCTGGAGTTAATCTTCCTGCATGCTACTGAATTTTGGTTGCCATTTGTCACCTGTCAAGCCAGCCCAATCCAGGCGAAAGCTACTGTACTTTTCCTGTCCTCAATTCTTACTCCTCTCCACAACTCCCCACCCCAGAGCGTGCTCATATCCAGGCTATGGATCATGGGAAAGACATGGAAAAGAGTCTCTCCAGAGAAGGGGGTAGAGGCTCCTGACAGAAGATTTGTCCATAGTCTCCCTCCCAGACACATCCTCACCTCCAAGGAGCAGAACTGGGACACCAGTGCTCGGCACTCTTTGATTTGTCATTTCCCCCTACGTCTGCTAAGCTTTAATGGGACCTTCTCCAAAGGCCTAGTGGTGGAAATATCCCTGCTCAGATACAATGCATGTAAAGACACCTACTTAATAAACACCTGGGTGTATCTTAGAGCACCACAGTCGGATGAGTGTACAAATATGCACATGTATTTGTGTTAGGGTGGGGTAGAAAGACCTTGAGATAAGATTAAGAAGATTCTAGTGTTCACCTCTGGGGAAGCTTTCCCTTAAGACAATGAAAACACCTCCTGTCTCATTTTTCTGCATTTCCTCGTGTCTCAGTGAGCTCTGAGAGCCCCCTTTCATAGGTGGCTCTCCAATGCCCAGGCTAAATGATGACAATATTTTCTCAGAGGGTTCAGTCCCAGTTCTCAGGACTTTCCTTATTTTCCTCCCTCCCCTGGAGACTACCTAGCAATCCAACTCTTGTATTTTGAGGGAGCAAAGTTGGGCTTAATACCCGCCATTGAACACATGCAAGAACAAAGGCATGACAGGAAGCAGAAACTGGGATCTCTGGGTGTCCCCACCCACCTCCTGGCCTGAAGGTGGGTACCGTCCTCAGCAGCTCACAGAGGGCACTGTCAGCCTTTGATGAACCTTGCTGGGCCAGCCCAGAACAGACCTCTCACCTCCCTGAACACTGTACATCAGACGGCTGGAGAGCCACAGGAGTCCAGGGTGCCTGTCACAGCCAGAGAAACTCACCATCCATGCAGCAAACAAGTGTGGGTGCCTCCTCTGTCCTAAATGCCTCCTCCCTACGTGGAAGGCCATGCAGCCATCAGGAAGAATGTGCCAGCAATGTAAGTCTCACGTGGAAGCCGAGAGATAGGAAATGGAAACAACAAGGAGCTGTGCAGTATGCTACTTCTGAGATTAAAAAAAGAAAGAATATACCATATAAGTATGTTGTATCCCCATAGAACATCTCTGGAAAGGAACAAAAGAAAATAGTAACAGTACTGTATGCAATGAGCAGGACTAGTGGCTGAGGATGGCGTGGGAGGACTTCCTTTCACAGTGTTCTCTTTTGAACCCTTTAATTGTTGTTCCATATGTCTGCATTACCTATGAAAAATGACAATCAAAAGAAGACCCCTTCTCCTTAAGGAGCTTAGAGAGAAGGCAGACATACAAACAATGACAATACGCCATACTCATTCGTATCATTGAGATGTAGGCACAGCGGGAAGGGAGCATAGGAGAGGCACCGGCAGTGTGGGCTTGGAGGTGTTGGGGAATTTGGAATTGTCATAGCGAGTGCTGGAGCCACTCTCAGCTCAGCCTTGCCGGGACCTAAAGAGCACAGTGAAGAGGGACCCGTGGTAGAGCTGCAGGGGCAGGTGGAGACCAGAATGCCAACTGCCTTGTGTGCCAAACTGAGGAGCTGAGATTGTATCTTAATAGGAAATGGGTGGCTATTAAAGAATTTTCATCAAGGGAGTGACCTGTTCAGATTTGCTTTTTAGAGAAAGGACCCTGGCAGGAATGTGGAAGGCTAGATTAAGAGGGGCAAGGATGAGGCGGGATACTGGTGATAAGGTTAATGCAAGAATCTAGGTGAGAGAAGGCGGATGGATGACCTGGGGCAAAGGGAGGGGGGATGGAGGAGAGGAGATGAAACCCGAGACATACAACGGTCGGAAATGTGTATGGAGACCACGTACAGATCCAGCTCTACCACTCTTCATCTTCTCCCTCTGGCATCCTCTGCACATTCGAGGCAGCTGGCAAGATGGGTCAGGAGGGGCCATTTCCTGGTCTGCCTACCTGCCTCCTTGCCCCAGGCTTCAGCTCCTTGGCAAAGAGGGGCAGAGAAAAGAGGAGAGATGCCTCTCCTTCACCATGCAACTCCTAGGTCTGCCTTATTTATTCTGTGCTCTCTCTCTCTCCCGATTCAGGTCCACTCATTATTTCTGAGCTGTACAGCTTGCTGTTTCCCTGGCTCAGCTCTCCCACCCCCGTCTGCGAAGTGTCAATCAAGCCATCAGATGAGCAGTTCAGCCTCACATCCTCAGCGGCTCTGCCCCCCAGGACATGAGCAGCAATGGCTGACACACAGAAGCACGATGTAGGGCTGCTGGCTCTCCCTGTAATAGTCTTCCGATCCAGAATGGGTGTTAAAATGGAATTTGGGGGGATTGCTTCTCTCTGCCTGCCTCTGTCAGGACAGCCACAAGGATGGGCAATCCTGAGAGAAGGGGGAAGCCTTCAGAAGTCGATTTGCTTTTCATTTCAAGGTTGGGCCACGGCCAGTGTCTGCTTTCGGAGGAGCTGTTTGAAATTCTTAACAAGGAACAGAATGCTTGAGTCCAGGAATCCAGGGCAGGCTTGTGAAGTAGGGATGGGGAAATTGAATTGTCATTTTATTTCTGAAGGGATATTATATTAAAGGAGAGGTGGGAAAGAGAGCTGCTTTGTAGCTTCCCCAGAGGACGGTGAACAATAAGAAATATCGGGGGCAGCAGGAAGAACTGAGATTAGAACAAAGACAGAACTTCCCCAGGCCCAGGAGCCAGTGACCAGGGAGATCTGAAGCATCTGAAATCTCTAGGGGATTTCTCCTTCTTCTTTTACAAATTGTGAATGGAAGTACAATTTTTATAAAATATGAAAACTAATGAGCATTAAGCTCAATTACCTCACCAAATTCTCTTTAGATCTTTGATAACACACGCGTGGAACTCGTAGTTGTGATCCGTGTGTGTCTATTTACGGTCTGCTTCTCTTTCTCAGTATGATTTCATGTACCTTTCTGTGTAGCCCACAGTACCGGTGCTTGTCATTTTGAATCGCTACATAGTATTCCATTGTGTCAACGTGCCTGAGTTCGTTCAGCTATTCCCTGTGGCTGGGTTGTTTGTAATTTTTTATTTTATAAGAGCACAGCTATGCATGCCTTCATACAACTGTCTTTTTCTCCCTCTAGGGTATAGTCAGATTTCTAGGTCAGAAGATTCGAACCACTTCAGCACTCCTCCGCACTGCCCCAGCCCTCCCCAGAGGCCCAGACAATCTGAGTTGCCACCCAGCTCTCTCTCCGTCCCCATGGCACTGACATCAGATTTTATCATTTTTATTTACTTTTGCTTATTTAATAGGCACATAATCGTACCTTGACGTTATTTCATTTTCATTTCTTTCATTGCTAGCAACACTGGGCACACCTCCACGTGAGAACTATTGTCTGCGTTTCCTTGTGTGTAAGCTGTTCATCTCCTCTGACATCAAGAGAAATCTGGGGGCTGACCTTATATATTTACATCAAGCCTTTACATACTTAAATAGTACATTTTTCTCAGGTATGTCTGCCATTTTTTACTCTAAGGAAGCCAGCCAATTGTGAAGCAGATGCTATCTTGTCTCATGTGGGTTAGAGTTGGGGTGGCGTTGAAATGACTTCTAGATTCTAGAGTGATTTTTAAAATTTTTTCCAGAAGACAAAAAAGCCAGTCACACAGCACCTCCTCTCTGGGCCCCTGTTTTCCTAGGAAAGGAAGGGCTGGGCTGAGAGCACAGCTAGTGGCCAGGACCACTCTGGGGGATTCTTTGCAGGGGGCAGGCCGCTGTGCTGAGGCTGGCAGCTCCCTGTGGTCACATGGATTTCTTGGTCCGTTATTTTCTCCCACTCGTACTATGGCCATGAGAGAAATAGCAAAATATTCAAATCAGAACCATCATTACAAGTTCTGACTGATCCCCAGAACAGCACAGCAGTTAAGGGAACAGGTTCTAGAACAGAAAAACCTAGGCGCCATCTCAGTGACTATGTGTTCCAGGCATGCGGCGTTAGACAAGCTGTAACCCCTATAAGCCTCGATGTCTTTGGCTGTAAAGTGGTGTTTCCATTCTGGGTGCATAAAAAATTACCCTGAAACTTAGTGGCTAAAAACAACAACTGTTTTACTCTATCTCACAGTTTTGGAGGGCAGGAACACAGATGGAGCTTGGCTGGGTGATTCCTCTGCTCCATGTGGCATTAATAGGGTCACTCAGCAATATTTAGCTGGCGGCCGGGCTGGGCTAGAGGTCCAAGATGGCTTGGCTCTTACGTCTTCTCTCCATGTAGTCTCAGGTGGTCTCTCCCACAGGGTGGGTGGACTTCTAACTTGGCAGCTCAGGGCTCCAAGTCAAGAGGAGGAAGCTCTCAGTCTCTCAAGGTCTGGGCCAGAAAGTGTCCCAGTGTCACCTCCGCCATATTTTGTTGGTCAAGCAGTCACAGAGCCTGTGATGGGAGGAGTGACGAAAAATTTGGGGCCATCTTCAATGTGCCAAAAGTGGGGATAAAAATCCTTACTCCTAGGGCTGTGAGATGAAACGAGATAAAGCAGGCAAGGGGCAAATTCACCATGAAGCCAATGAAACTTCAACCATGGGGCTCCTTAATTGTGTGGTCTCTTCCAAGTCCTAGCACGTAACTTTGTATTCATAATTTTTCTTTCCCTTTCTTAAAGAGGACGCCCAAACTGTGTAAGAATCAGGCCCTACAAATACTAGCTCTGTCCCGAACATCTGAAAAAGTACTTACTTGGCGCACTACCTGGCACAGAGGCAGCACCCACAACAGGGCCCCCACCGTGCCCTCGGCTGGTGCCTGGTTCCCTGTCTGTGCCTTGGGAGAAGCCTCCTCCTCTCACAGTGTCCCTTCCATTTGTTCAGGATCATTTCTTCTTCTCCTTTGTAAAAAATGAAAGTAAAACATGCTGAGAATAATTTCGTAATCACAAAACTGCCCTTTCAATTGGCCCCTGCATCCACCCCCTGACCTCACCCCCCACGAGCGAGGTGGGCCGTACCCTGGGCATAGCGCCAAGTTCTTGGCTCGGCCCTTGAGTATCTCCAGAGGAAATCAGGCTGAAGAGAGGGAAGCCAGCAGGGGGAGGCAGCATTCCCGGTGCCCAGCTTGGTCTAAGAGGCATTGAAATTCCTGGGCCGAAGTTCTGAGACAAAGATCATAATGAGACAGGAAGGTGGCATAGGAAGGAGCCTATTTGCATGACAATAATTGAACCAAGAATAGAAAGCTAGAGGGATGCAAGGGTGAGGCTGGCAGCTGAGCTGGGCGAAACCTCACAAATGAGACTACCCAGCTCCGCTCTGCAGCGGGGGTGGGGACTGAGCCCTGTGCCAGGCTTTGCGGGGAGTGAGGAGAAGGACACTGCCCCGGGGGATTGTGGGAATGCTGGCTAGGCTGCACTTTGCCCTACCCCTCCGCCTTCAGCTGGGAGCCCGCCTTTGCTCGCCTTCTCCTTTGTGGTGGGCTCTGTGGCTCCAGGACTGACTCAGTGGGCATCATGGCTGCTCAGAAAGACCTCTGTGATGCCATTGTGATTGGGGCAGGCATCCAGGGCTGCTTCACTGCATACCACCTGGCCAAACACGGGAAGAGGGTCCTCCTGCTGGAGCAGGTACTGTGTCCCCTCTGTACTCCTGACCCAAGGGACTGTTCCTCTCTCCTCCCCTAGAGAGGGGTTTCCAGAGGCAGCAGGCTATGGGGCAAGGCCAAAGGACCTAATCATCACAAATTCTGTGCAATTCGGAGCTTAGCTGCCTGGTGTGTTTTATGACAATGCAAAGAAAGTTCCACCCTCCCTAAGACCCACGTTGGGTTTCTGGGCACATTTCCTCTATTTACTGCGTCCCAGTTTCTGCTCTTGACCAAGAAGTGTCCCAGGCCCTCTTTGCTTCCTTCCTGCCATGCAGTCTTGTCTGGGCCAAAAAGGTTGATCTGGCCCAGAAAAATAATCAGTTCTGCTTTGGGTAACTTTAAGTAAAGAAAATTTTGCCTAGAGGCAAAGGCTGATGTGTCAGCCTAAAAGGTAGGATTCTTCCCTGCCTGTTCTGGCCTCTCACCTGGAAACCCAGCAGAGGCTTCTGTTTTTTCTGCCACTTCTGGATAATAGCAGCTTCCTTTTTTGATACACAGGAAATAAGACTTAGGTCTTATTTTTCCTTATAAAAAAGATGACTCCATACAGTGCAGTCTACAGGGACCACTGCACTTGTGGGTGGGCCTGTATACCTACAGGGTCCTTCCCAGGGCAGGTCCGCCCAGCCTACCTTCTAGAAGTTTCTACCCTCTCATTCTGCCTACAGCTATCCAGGCTGGTTTTGGTCTATTCCTCTTGGTAATGAGCTGGATTGGTTAGAAAACTTTTTCATTTCTCTCTCAGTTCCTCAAAGCCTGAGGGATTCCTGTCCAACCTTGCGGGAAATTCTCCAGCTTTTGCTAAATCCCAAGGTGGTTTCCTTGTCCCAAGTGTTCTGAAGTCACAGAGAAATAGTCAGCATCAGCTTCCTTGTCCATAAAATGAAGGGCTAAAGTAGAAGGATCTCAAAGATTCTTTCTAATTCTGCTTCTCTCTGAGTCTAAGGATGACAGGAGACTAATAAAGGGATTTTGGGATGTGAAGGATGTTGGCAAAAAGACCCTGAGTTAATGCTACTGAAGAACTTCTGTCCTGATAGCCAAGTCAGTGACTCGGCCATAAAGGGAGAATATGTGGAAATATTTGAAGAATAAGTGCTCCTGGTTGACAGCCAGGATGAGCTGGGTAGGGGTGGGGGCAGTGCAAGGGGTGACGGCCTCAGTTGGCTCTCTTGTTCTCCACTTCCAGTTCTTCCTGCCACACTCCCGAGGAAGCTCCCATGGGCAGAGTCGGATAATCCGAAAGGCGTACCTTGAAGACTTTTACACCCAGATGATGGATGAATGCTACCAGATATGGGCCCAGCTGGAGCATGAGGCTGGAACCCAATTACACAGGTGAGGGGGGCATCCCTTGAATCATGGGGCCCAGCACCTGGTGGCGCTTTTAGTATATGAGGGGGCAGTGCCGTGAACACTTGAAATGCAGTGGAGGGACACAGGGTGTAGAGAAGTGCCAGACACATGGACGTATTCTGCTCACTGTCATTATGATCACCCCACAGATCGAGCTGGCTCCTGCCAGGCTCTGAGTTCCAGGACTGGGTTAAGACCATGTGTCCAAAGCTGGCAGAAGGTGTACTGGGAAAACCGCTGGAAAGACACTGTGGGCAGATACCCAAAGCTGGAGTTTGTAGCTATGTCTCCTGGAGGCATCTGAGACTCTTCCAGGGTGGGGATTGAAATAGAAGAGAAGGCTGCTGTCTTGATTCTTTATATTCATATTAGTGTCATAAAATTTCACGCTGGGTCCTCACTCCCAGAGCGACCCCTATAAATCCATTTCATTCTCTTTGAATTCCTCCTCCTGTAGGAACAAGATGGGGGTGCTCCTCAGGCACCACTGCTTGCCAAGGAGTGAGCCTGCAGTCCTTTTGCCCGTAGGACTCTCTCTAACCCTTAAGACTCCTCCCTCACTGACCTTTGAAACACCCTCGGGGAAGAAGGCAGACAACTCTTGACGCAAAGAAGACTTTAACCGTGCGCCCTCTCCCCTCCCACCTTCTCTGTGGCTCTTAACTGAACTTCCTACAAAATGATGCCTCTACGCTACAGGGTGGCAGTTATTTTAATGGCCAGGAACCAAGAGGTTACTGTTCTGTTGCAAAAACACCATTAACTTAAGAACAAAGTGAAATCCATTATGCAAATACAGCTAGGGCAGCTAATTACAGATTTATTCCAGAGGCAGCTAATGCACCCAGCACCCAAATAAAGGAGCACGTCTTGCTGAGGGGTAGCCTGGCAAAGGGACCCCTCCCTGTCAGCCATCTGTGAATACTGCTGACTATCTTGTGCTAAAAGAATTGCTGAGGCCTTGGAGGGCACACTTCTTTCCAGCAGACGAGGAGGCAACTAAAAGATGTTAGGAGGGTGTCTGGAATCTTCCAGAGGGAAGACGATTCTAGAGTCAGACAGGCTTGAATTTGACTTTGTATTCTACCTCTTCCCAGCTGTGTGACCTTGGGAAAGTTTCCGTCCCTCTCTGTGCCTCATTTTTTCTCATAGGGCTTTGTGAGGATTAAATGAGACTCTTATGAAATACTTGGCACAGTGCCTAGCATCTTTCAATAAATGGCAGTTCCTTCCACCTATTCTGGGTCAGCTGTATCCTCTCTCCATTGAGCCCTGGAGGAAGAAGGGCAGGAGGAGACAGATGAGATGCAGCAACTGTGGACATCAAGGGGAATGGCTGCTGGAGGGAGGGAAAGGGACCCTTGGGTAGGAGATTCTCATAACCTCTTTGGCAGGAGGACAGGAGTTTGGAAGGACTTTGGAACCCGGCAGACCTGGGTCCACACATCAGCTCTGGCACATTTAGCTGTGTGGTTTGGAGCCAGATCTTTAACCTTTGTGAGGCTCAGTTTTCTCGTCGGTAAAGTAGGGGTAATAATATCTATGCCATTGGGCTGTTGTGAGGATAAGTATGTCAAGGGCTTAGAATAGTACCTGATATGGGGTTGGCCCCGTGGCCGAGTAAGTTCGAGCGCTCTGCTTCGGCGGCCCAGGGTTTCGCCGGTTCGGATCCTGGGAGCCTACATGGCACCACTCGTCCAGCCATGCTGAGGTGGCATCCCACATGCCACAACTAAAAGGACCCACAACTAAAAATACACAACTATGTACCAGGCGGCTTTGGGGAGAAAAAGGAAAAATAAAATCTTAAAAAAAAAAAAAAAAAGAATAGTATCTGACAAATCAGCATCATCATCACCATCATCACCACATATTTAGCCCTTGTAATAAGAAACTAAGGCTGTTCTAAAAGTACTTGATGCAGGTTAACTCATTCGATTCTCCCCACAACCTTATGAGAGGGTCGCTGAGTAGTCGGGGTCTTAACCTGTTAGTGCAAATCACGGAATTACTATACTCTTAGTTTAGGACAGGGCTGGGCAACCATTTTCTGTAAACGGCCGCATAGTAACTATTTTCGGCTTTGCAGGCCACACAGTCTCTGTCGCAAGTATTCAGCTCTGCCTATTACTCAATTCTGCCGTTGTGGCCCCAAAGCAGCCACGGATAACATGTAAACAAATGAGCATGGCTGTGTTCCAATAAAACTGTATTTATGGACACTGACATTTCATACAATTTTCATGCCATGAAGTATTATTCTTCTTTTGCTTTTTATCAACCATTTAAATACCTAAAAGCCATCTTGGCTTCTGCGACAGACAATAACAGGTGGCAGACTTGACTTGGTCTCTGGGTTGTCATCCGCCGGCCCCGACTTGGAAAATACCACAGCCTGGTTACCTCGTCCATTCCCGTGTCTCCAGACAAGTTCCTGCCTAAGCCATCCCAGGGCAAAAGACTGCTAACGTCCATTTAAAGACGGGGACACGTCAGCACCCCTCTTAGCAGCCCATCCTGCTGCCTCATCGCCCCAAGTGTGAACAATGAAGAGTGACGCGAATGTGCTTTGAAAAGCCTTTAAAGTTCGTCAGAGTGCTAGGTGTTATTATTATTGTTAACAAGGCCTTTCTTATGGCTAACCTAATTAACGCAAGCACACTAATTTATTGGGTTCTTTTACTTAGGACACAGTACAGATACTTCCCATTCCAATTCCTTTAGCTTTTGTTCTTAATTCTGATTTTCTAAACGATTCATCATCTTTGTGATTCTTATTCTCCTAGGTGCTTCTGGAAGAACTAGCACAATATCATAACCTAACTGATAGATATGAATGTATTTACTTAATGTTTTTTGATGATGATTAGAAAAAAACACCTTCGGGAGTTGGTAGTTAAGGTGGTTGCCCAATGCTTTTTGTTCTGTTCCACTGCTTCCTGTGACCGTGGCATACTAAACATGGGTGGGCTCAGGATATTTGCATATATTCTGGGAACAGACAATGATACATGTCCAGTCACAAGGTCTGAATCTTTTGTGATGTGTGCAGCCAGGATGCTGATACCAACAGAAATCCCAGCTCTGTGGCCCATCTCTTTCCTGCCCTGCCTTCTCCCTTTGAGTCCTACTATCTAGCTCCTGACCCGGGCTGCCCCTGCTTAGCTGACAATATCAGACAAGATCACAGCCGTAGGCAGTACAGCTGCTGGCAGAACCTGGTGGCCCCCTCCGCAGCTGCTGCTTCCTGTGTCTGCGAAGTGTCTGGCTTGTCAGCCACATCCCCTCCC